CAGGGACCCGTCGTGAGGGCCATTGTTGCTAGAGAACTGGAAAGCTACCTAAAAACAAAAGAAACCTCTGTCAGAGGTTATCCACTAAATGTGTGCTGGGACTGGTGGACTTGAGCTGAGGACACGCTGGCTTGTCCCTCTTTCAGGATAAACCTCGATGAGCGTCCAGGCAGCTTCAGGTTTACATCTGCTTCCCTGCTGTTTGAACCCAGTGATTCCACAAGCAGTTTTCCTTTGAATTTCTTGGACCAGATCTGTCTTCTTTCTTTTCTAAAAAGGCAAAACAAACAAAAAACCCTTCTCGTGTCCTAGAATCATCAGATGTCAGAATTGGAAAAAAGCTGTTTTTAATCTTTAATTCCCACCCGATTCCGCTCCCTCCACCCCCTCACCACCTTTTACAAATGATCTGGCCGCCCTGTGATTGGTTTGGTTTGTGCAGCCCAGCTCCTAGGGTGGGAGGTGGGGACTGACAAATACTTTGTCTAAAACGAGCACGGGACAGGCACTGTCCTGTGTGTGCTCCTTGAAAGAGAACCTCCCTCAGAAGTCACCCCCAGGCCCCAGCCTGAGGGTTAACTGGGATTGTCTCCATTTTAGGGTTATCCCTCAGTTAATCAGAATCCTATCCCAACAAATTTGGTCACGGTTTTTTCTCACACCCAAAGGCTGTGACGCAAACTGCACTGCCCTGGACACTTCCGCTCTCAGAGAGGCAGTCACGGCTGATGGTCCCCGGTGAGGCAGAGTAGGGGAGTCTGAGGGGCAGAGACGCAGAAGGCCAAAGCCAGAGGGGCCCCAAGAGGCCAAAAGTCCAGCTGCCCCTCTCCTCCCTCCTCCATCCCACCGCTTTGCAGATGGAGGGAGGGATGCTGAGACCCTAGTGGAGAGGTGGCACATGGCTTTTCACTGCCAGGAGGTGAGGGACTATCCCACAGGCAGACCAGGCACGTGCTGGGTCACCAGCAAAGCAGGGGCACCAAAAATACTTTCTGAAAGAATTCAACATTTGCTGTTTCAAAGCACCATTCAACTAGCCCATCGTAGGAAATGTCTGAATTTGGCTGGACTCTCTTACACTTATTTTACAGCTTAGGGTTCTTGTTTTACTTTGAATTACATTCTACAGCTGATCGATGCAGCCCTGTGCTTAGGGCCTGAAGGGGGCTGTTTCCCAGGGCACAGAACTTACGCCAGCAGGTTCTCCCGGTCAGGATTGTCTACACGCCAGTTGCAGTGCTGCTGGGGGACAGAGAAAGCCAGAAAGACCAATCATCCTAGTGTCCAGCCTGACGCCGTGTTTTCTGTACATCATCTCCTCCCGTCTTCCAACCCTGCCAGGGAGAGGTTGTGCTTCCTCCACAAATGAGAAACTGAGGGTCAGTCCGAGGCCACGGCTGGAGGCTGTTCTGGAGCCAGTCTGCTGTGCAGAGCCCCGCCTGGCAAGCAAGAGTCCTGGCTCCAGGACCAGCTCTGCCCCTCGCTGGCTGTGACTTTGGGCCCCTGACCTTGGTTTCTCGTCTGTGCAGTGAGGGGTTTGGAGGAAAAGATCTCTGAGGGGTTTCCAATTATGTGAGCCCTTTTCTGAGGGTCCCTCTGTGTTTGCAGAGCAGATGTCATATGGTCCAGGCCCAAAGGGAGAGGACGATGGCTCTCCCACCTGGTGATGCCTGCTGCCAGCCAGGTTCTTTACCTTCATTATGTCATGTGGACCTTTGTGGTTAAGTGTGTGGACTTGTGAGTCAGAAAGGACCGGATTCCAATCCCAGCTCCTACCCCCAGATGTGTGACCTTAGGCAAGGACTTTCCCCTCTCTGAGCCTTTTCTCCTCATCTGTGACCTCCTGGAGTTGTGGGTCCTTTCAGAGAGAATGCTTAGATGACACTTACACAAGAGCCTAGAACATGTAAGAGCTCAAGTGTGCTAGTGTTTCCAATGGTTACTGCTGCCATCAGCCTTGCTCTCCACTGGGAAGGCCTTGGCCAAGATCATTTGAATCCCACCTGTGAGCACACCCCTGGTCCAGACCCGCCAGGATATGTGGTCCAAGGTGCCATAGTCCACGTGAGCACAGCCAAGCTGGATCCCGGGCTTCTGCCTCTTGTGCACACCCAGTCAGCCTCTCTGGGTCCCTGGCCCAGGTTCTATATCACACCCCCCACCACATCATTGCCCCTCTCTCCCACTCTGATCTTTGCTGAGCTTTGGCGCTTAACCCCCAGCCCACTCACCTGCAAAGCCCTGTCTACCTTGATGTCTCCCGTGGTGTCACCTGTGTATCTCCAAACCAGGCCTGGCAGGGAAGAACCAGGCAGGTGTTGAGCTGTTAAACCCTCTAACCCCTCCCTTCAACCAGGCCTGCTGGGGCCCTCTCCCACAACATGGGACTCCTCTGGGGCACTGTGTCCCCCTATTCACCCGGGATCAATTTCTTGCCTCCTCCTTGAGCATGCATTGGGAGGGGACTTCCTCTGGGATTTGCTGATAATGAGAACAGCATTGTTAACAGCTCTCATGGGTTCCAGAACTTCACAACCAATGGGGCACCTTTTACTGACATTATTCTATCTGGTCCCCAGAATAGCCAGGGGAGACAGACAGCCCAAGAGGAGGAGACTAAGGTCCAGAGAAGTGAATTGACTTGCCATTGCTTATGCTGTTTTTTAGTATCTGAGCTGCAAGCCAGACCAGGGCTTCCCTCCCAAGCCTGTGCTCTGCAGTATTCCATCATGGGTAAGGGCGTAGAGTCTAAAGTGAGAAAGTCCTGACTTTGAATACCAGTTCTAATATATTTTGGCTATGTTACCTTAGGCAAGTTACTTAACCTCTCTGAGTCTGAGTTTCTCCATCTATAAAATAGAACATGACAATATTACCTATCTCATAGAGTTTTTGAGAAGATTTAATGAGATAAGGGATATAGGGTGCTTGGAGTGAAACATGACTATTCAAAAATGACTCTGGGAGTTTTGTTTGTATTACCTGGTAATAGCCAGGGAAGAGGCTGCCTGCATATGTTCAATTTCCCAGGGAATGGTGGTGTCCATCTCCTGCAGGAGAGGGTGAAACTTTCATGGGCTCTCAGGGTCTCTAGATGCCAAACACCCGACTTTACCAGGCCTTCAGTTAACAGCTGGCATCTAAGCTTAGATGGCTTAGTACCCCGTAGTCAGTTTATTCTACTTACAAACCTACTCTCTCGCTCCCTTCCCCCCCAAAAAGGAAAGCAATAAGGGTCAGGGCCATTATTCCTATGTCTTAGGGTGTATGTGTGTGAGCTGTGAGCAGCCAACAGTCAGCTGCTAGAGGGCAGGCCAGCAACTCTGTCTACTACAGTCTACCCCTTGAACCTCTCAGGTTCATTCACTTATCATGAGAAGTTCACTCTATCTGGACATAGGATTTCCAGGATTCTGAATAGTCACAATTTCGGGAGAAATTTCTAAGAGAAGGATTAGTGAGTGGGATTAATTACTGCCCCTGCTGCTGCAGTCAGTCCCCAGGCTGCAAGTGACAGTCATCATCTCTCTCCCCTACCACCCATTCTACATTCCCTTCTCCTTTCCCTTCACAGTCAATCACTTCAGTGGTCTAGATGGATCTTCTTCTAGTGTGAAACAGACCCTCATCCCTGACAGTTCTGAGTCCCCGGTCACTATGCCTCATCAGGCTATGGTTGCTTTAATTGCTCACTTACAGTTAAAGTTGGTCATGGAAGAAACAAGAAATGTTCCTGTGCCTGAATGCCAACCTCCCAGCCCCCATTATGTAAGAGCAATCTTACTTCCTCCTGAAGATCAGGGTCAATTACCCTTGGGAATGGGTAGCTCCTTTTTCTATCTGCTGGTTTACTTGCACAGTGGGCTTAAAATGACCAGGCAACAACTGTAGCTTTAAATTTAGTGAGACTTACTTTGTCTCTTGTGGAATTAGAACTGCTTAATCCACAGAGGCTAAAATCATCGAGACAGCGAGCACAAATTCCCCCAAAAGGTCACTGTGGGTAATGGTGAGTGGAGCCACTCTAGCTTCCACCCCTGGTTCTTGGCAGGAAGCATCACTTTTTAATGGGCATCCAAGCCCATTAGTGGGATCCAGCTAAAAATGGATCCTTTGGAGCCACCCTGGTGGCGTAGTGGTTAAGTTCGCGTGCTCGGCTTAAGAGGCCCAGGGCTCACAGGTTCTGATCTCGGGCACAGACCTACACAACACTTATCAGGCCATGCTGTGGCAGCGTCCCATATATAAAGTGAAGAAGATGGGCACGGATGTTAGCCCAGAGCCAATCTTCCTCAGCAAAAAAAAAAAAAAGAAGGATTGTTAGCTCAGGGCTAGTCTTCCTCACCAAAAAACAAATAAATAAATAAATAAAATAAAATTTTAAAAATGGATCCTTCCCATTGGACAGGAGCATAGAACCCATTATCACTCCCTGATTAGTGTTGCTAGTGGATTTCTTATGCAGTCATTTCAAGCCTCCCGGCCACCCCCGACTATTTATTACTGATATATCAGTACTTGGTAAAAAAGAAGTGATATCAATGCCAAAACTGTAAGGACTTATAGGAAAAAAATGTTCATGTTGAATTCAATGCTAACTTCTCGGCTCCCACAACCTGCTCTGAGTCTCTCTGTCCTGTCACCTATGTTCTTTCTCTGGGTCTGACTCTCCCACGAGACTGTGGATACGTGGAGGGCAGCAACTGTGTCTGGTTCGTTTCTGTCTCTAGCACCTAGTAAAGATTTTTATGAATGATTGAATGATCAAATTTTATTCATCACATTAATGATTGATGAAAATTGTGAAAACTACGATTATTCTATAGCACCAGTAGGAAGCCTTTTTGATCCAGTATTTGAGGACCAGGTTTAGCTGTCTGCTCAACTGAATGAAGGATATTTAGGCTGCTGTAATTTGTTTAAAAATATTTATTGTGTTTCTATTCTGTGCTAGGCACTGTCATTGGTGTCCAGGGAGCTGAATTAGTTGCATCTAATGATCAAGGGCCCCCAGAATGCCCTGGCTCCCAAGGACACGCTATTTTGGTGATGGCTGCTTTGACATCCTTGTTCCTCAGTGTGTAGATGAGAGGGTTGAGGACAGGCGTGAGAATGGCGAACACCACATTGCCCACGATGTGGAAGTCGAGGGGCAGGTCAGCCCTGTAGGCCACGTAGGCTATGGCAATGGAAGAGTAGTAGATGCCAACCACCAGGAGGTGGGAGCTGCAGGTGGAGAAGGCTCTTGAGCGTCCTTCTCGGGAGCTGATGCGAAGCACTGAGGCCAGGATGTGGGCATAGGAGAGAAGCACCAGGAGAAGGGGCAGGAAGGACACCATCATGGCGATGTAGAAGCCCATGAAGGTCTGGGGAGTGGTGTCAGAGCAAGAGGCCTGGACCACAGCCAAGTGGTCACAGAAGCAGTG